TTTCCCTTTGTCAGTGGTGTAGGACAAAGGGTCTGTGTACATATTGGTGTGCATGCAAAAGATCCATTTGCAGTTAGAATTTGATAAAGAGAAGGCCTTATCGCCACTGTCTAGGCAAAATTTCTCTCATAGCACACATCTTCAATAGCCCTGTCGGAGCAGAACAGTAGGACATTAAACTCTATTTCATGTCCTATTATTATGTTTGTTTGGAAATGAAATGAAATAGGTTTTAACGTCCTACTGTTCTGCTCCGACTGGGCTAATGAAGATGGATGTTTGTGTGGTTTCCAGTACACATCATATCACCTTGTTACGTTTCTTACTCCATAAAGTTTCTTCTATACGAAAAAATCTACTAACCATAATGAATCTTTTTATTAATTCTATCAATTATTTTAAAATCAATTAATCAAATGTTAAAACATTAAAATCTATTCTATTCTAGCTCCTGAGTCCTGCATGAATATTATATTATGATCAGGTCTGAACTTGATTTATAAGTATAATATACATGTAGCTATATATACATTTATTCTATCACAAAATTAAAACATGTTCAGAAACTATTCACTTCAGTGATCCAAATATAACTCGATTCCAGAACGGAACACTTAAGTTTACACTACTCAAAATTTAACCGTTCTGTTCTCGGAACTGTTCCTGGCATGATTAAAAAAGGAAATATAAACAAAGTAAGAGTTTGATAATTTACTGATCAGCTTACCTCACAAATAGATTTGCTTCCTGTAAACCTGATAATTCAGTACAAATATTCCTGGCACACATGGATATACACAAGTATATAAAACCTAATCCCAAGCATCATATCCTATCAATTTTCTGAAATATTCCTGGCAGACTGATTCCAAATCAGCAGGCCTCATCTACAAGTAGATTTCTTTGCTAATGTTTATCATAATAAAATTCTAAATTAGACTCATCGTTTAGATATAAACTCAAGATTCAGTAAACTTGTTCCCCTGGTGGAACATCTCCGTCAGCTTACTTCAAGTACAGTGTAACAACATTCTAGAATAGGCTTACTGTTCAGAAACATACGCAGATCAAATAAACTTGTTCCTTGGAATCAGTTTCTTGTAATCAGTTCCTTATAAAATGGTGTAACATCTCTGTCAGCTTACTTCAAGTACAGTGTAATAACATTCTAGAAAAGGCTTACTGTTTAGAAACATACGCAGATCGAATAAACATGTTCCTTGGAATCAGTTCCTTGTAAAATGGTGTAAAATGTCACTCAACTTACTTTAAGTATAGTGTAATAACATTCTATGACTGTCTCACTGTATGTTTAGATACATACTCCAACAGGATCCAATAAAAGAGAGAGAGAGAAATGGGGTTTAACATCCACTCGACACAAACTAGGTCATTTTGGGACTAACACATGGTTCAATTTTATTTCAACATTTCGCTTGAGCGTAGGGGTCTTTAGCGGTGGGAGGAAACTGGAGGATCCGGAGAAAGCCCACGAGGTTGGACAGGCGACCCTACTCCTTGTCATGTACAACCGGGGAATCAAAACTATGCCAGCTGACTCAATGGCAGACCTTGTGATACAGCCCACACGTGCTAACCATTCGGCCACCCAACTCCCTATAGGATCCAATAACCATATTCCCTAGATTATACAGGATCCAATATACATGTTTCCTGGAATTATATCCTACAGAACCCAATACACATGTTCCCTGGAATTATATCCTACATAACCCAATATACATGTTCCCTGGAATTATATCCTACAGGATCCAATATACATGTTCTCTGGAATTATATCCTACATAACCCAATATACATGTTCCCTGGAATTATATCCTACATAACCCAATATACATGTTCTCTGGAATTATATCCTACAGAACCCAATATACATGTTTTCTGGAATTATATCCTACAGAACCCAATATACATGTTCTCTGGAATTATATCCTAAAGAACCCATATACATGTTCCCTGGAATTATTATATCCTACAAGATCCAATATACATGTTCCCTGGAATTATATCCTACAAGATCCAATATACATGTTCCCTGGATTTATATCCTACTTGATCCAATATACATGCTCCCTGGAATTATATCCTTTGACTGTTTTAGATATAAACAGATCCAGGTATATATATATATATATATATATGATATAAGAAGAAAGATGCAGGTGAGTCATGGTATAAGGTAAACAATATCCCAGGTATATATTTAGACAAGCCACAACCCTGATTATTCCAACATTTCAAAATTTCACCATGTTTATATCTTTAACACATTTCATTCACAAAAAAACACAGGTGCACGATAAACTGGCTATCTTTAGAACTACTTAGAAAATTTAATAAACCATTTGGTTACATTTAGAATAAAAATATATACTCAAGAGAACAAAAATATATCAGGAGAATTTTGACATAGCAGCACATTAGTACTATATTCCACAAATCAAAGGAGAAATTTGGTTTAACGTCCACTCGACACAAACTAGGTCATTTCGGGACTAACATATGGTTTAATTTTATTTCAATAATTCCCTTGCGCATAGGGGTCTTTAGCAGTGGGAGGAAACTGGAGGACCCGGAGAAAACCCACGAGATTGGATGGTTATTATCAAAACAAAAACCATAGTTACAATATTTCTAAAAACATATTTGAGATTTCTTTGTTCGATCATAAAATACTTTCAAAGCTAAATAAATAACACAAAATATCTGAAGATTTGGACTCAAGACAAATCAACAAGGGGAGCTTACTCTAATGCTTATTTCAAACAAGACAATAAACTGATTATTTTTTAGAACAAGGTAAAACATTCTTCAAAATAAACTATGGATTTTTTTGTTTAATGTGAAAAAAAAAATTGCGAAAATATAAAAATAAATGTTACAAACCTCCCCATGACGAGTAACGACACCAAGATGGCGTCTCCATGTACCAAGACAAAAATTTTGTGCCTCCGCAAACAATTGTAGTTTGCGCTGTGACTTTATGGAATTCGAAAAGAGGTCACATGACCAAACAGTATGAGCGTAATGTAAACAGATGGGACAAACAAACGTTGTTTCTATAGTTTTTGTTAAAGAATCAAATCATAAACAGTCACCATTTTAAACACTGAGTTATGTTGACACGGAAAACAAACGATTGTGGAAAAATGCTGTAAGAAGAAAAACATAGTTAAACATTTGTTATTCTTTTTGTAGAAGAAAATCACGAGTAAAGATATAGATTAAATAAAACAGGGTTTAGCATCCTTATTTTCAGCATACCGAGCTAAATGAAGATGGGCATACACCATGAAGTCTACTGTAAAGACAGTGGCGTTTTCACAAACTCTTCAAGTGTTTTTTAAACATACATTATGCAAGAGCTACAGTGTTATCTAAATTATTAATTAGACATTAATTAACTTATCCAGACCATAATCAACCCGCGATGTCAATGCTAGCCTGTGATATTTACTGGATTGGAATCCGATCTGCTGCTTAACGCTCATTGATGATTAAATCAAAAAATGGATAATTGAGACTATGTTTTTATCATACCAACTTTAGTAACGATGATGATCGATGCTAGGCATATAATTCGATCGCTAAATTCTCGGTTCAGACTGGATCAATTTGACTGAAATTTTCTACATTATCTAATTTTTAACTATTATAGTGAGAATTGCCAGCTCTTTATCTAATCTCCCATAATGTATCTTTAAGTGCAAGCCAACATGAACTGAAACTGGTCACAGAAGCTTTTAAAATTCCTAGAATCTTTGGAATTTAATTGGTGTCCCGGTAAAATCCTCTACTTTATTTTAAACATAATTTATAGAAAGTAAAATTAACCTTGTGTCAAAAGTTCGTTCTAAAAACAATCAAAATATTATATTGTGATATAAATAAAACACAATTAAAATAGTTCCTCATTTTTGTGATTTGTGCCAAAACAAACCTAAGACAGGTTTGTTTTGTTTACATGAAGAAAACATCCCATCATTTGATGTCAACAACTATACCACAATAACGATTATAACTTCACACCTAACCAATACAACTATCGGTATAACTAAATGCCAGTTATAACTTCACACCTAAACAATACATCTACCGGTATAACTAAATGCCAGTTATAACTTCACACGTAAACAATACAACTATCGGTATAACTAAATGCCAGTTATAACTTCACACCTAAACAATACAACTATAACTAAATGCCAGTTAAAACATCAATTATAAAAAATAACTTCACACAATCAAATAGTTATAACTATATAACTTAAATAACTTCACATGAACAGTTATAACTTTATACCTCATATAACTTAACATGATCAAATAACTATAATTTTATACCTCAACAACTGTGAAGCGACATTAGAAGATGTGAAACGTGGTGGGGGGTATAAAGCCATAAACACCAAAATATAAACATGTCAGTTATATATGTATGTAGGTATATAATATACATGTATGTGAAAGTAGACAGGTAAAACAATTAACACCAAAATATAAACATGTCAGTAATATACCTGTAAAATATATTATTAGAGAAACAGTCACATATGGAACAGGGCTTTAACTTCAAAATTATGCCAGTCAGTGAAATGTTTAAAGTATTTTGTTTAGTTCAGATTTGTTTCCCACAGAAAGATGTTAATGAAGATGATTATGATGAAATGATGATGACAATGATGTTAATGAAGATGATTATGATGAAATAATGATGTTAATGAAGATGATGATGATGATATTGCTAATGAAGGTGATTATGATGAAATGATGATGATGATGATGATGTTGATGAATATGATGATGATGATAATGCTAATGAAGATGATTATGATGATGATGACAATGATGTTGATGAAGATGATGACGATAATGATGATGATGATGATGTTGTGATGATGACGTGATGATGATGTGATGATAATATTTTACACATTTCAAATGCAAAATCTGTGAAACTATAAAAACATCAGACTTACCATGTCCGTGTGTAGTTCCAACAGCCACCGTGAATTTATGTCCCCGTTTCTTCTTCTCTGCTAGACAGGTGGCCGAGAGAATATTATTGGTCACCTGTTGGGCAGTGTCATCGGAGGTAACGTACACACTCCCACAACGAACCTGAAACATAAAAAGTAAAGGTTTTTAGAAAATAAGTTGACTCCAATACGGTAATCATCTGTCAGATTCGGGATATTTTGACACCACAGAACAACATAGGCAAACGACTATAATATTTCTCCTATTACCTGAAATGAAAAGGGGTTTGGACTATTGAAGATGGGCATACACCATGCAGCGTGCTAGGAGGTGAATTTTGTCTGGACAGCTGCACTATGGTCTACTCGTATTTTTTCCAACTGTCAAGGGTTTTTCATCCCATCCGAATGACTATACGTTGTCCCTTGCCAGGCCCTTTTTCCTGCACCACTGACAAGGGAGAATTCTAGAGGTCAACCTCATACAAATTTTGAAACAAAGACATGACCATTTGTTGTTCTGTCTGTAGTGAAAGAAAAATTTGGGGAAAAAAGAGACCTTAATTTAACATTGAAGTCTATGGGAAAATGCTGGTTTGCCTCCATTTGAATGCTGCAGTGCTCTCCCTTTATATCACAGATGTATAAAAATGAGTAGAATCCAATTATAAGTTTCTGTTATGTCGGGGGGTTGGATGGCCGAATGGTTAGCACGCGCGCGCTGTATCATACGGTCTGTCATTGAGTCAACTGGCGGGGTTTCGATTCCCTGGTTGTACATGGCAAGGAGTAGGGTCACCTGTCCAACCCCGTGGGTTTTCTCCGGGTCCTCTGGTTTCCTCCCACTGCTAAAGACCCCTACGCGCAAGCAAATTATTGAAATAAAATTGAACCATGTGTTAGTCCCGAAATGACCTAGTTTGTGTCGAGTGGACGTTTAACCCCATTTCTCTCTCTCTCTTTCTGTTATGTCAACCATATATCTTTGTTTATTTGTTTTATTTTAACCATACATCTTTGTATATTGTTGTAGGAATTGAGACCTAACACATTACAGTACAGGATCAGGTCAGAGTGGCATGAACCACACTAACAATACAAGATAGAGAGAGAGAGAAATGGGGTTTAATGTCCACTCGACACAAACTAGGTCATTTCAGGACTAACATATGGTTCAATTTTTATTTCCATAATTCACTTCCACTTATTAGGGGTTTTTAGCAGTGAAAGGAAATTGGAGGACCCGGAGAAAACCCACGAGGTTGAACAGGCGACCCTACTCCTTGTCATGTACAACCAGGGAATCGAAACCACACCATTTGACTCAATAATGACAGACCTTATTATACAGGTGCGCTAACCATTCAAACATCCAATAGCATATGACAGTTGGGAGAAATAATGAAAGACATTAAACACCTTTTAACACAATTTGTTTACAACCACTGTGAGATAAATGTCAATAGTTTGAGTGAGTTAACGAGTAACTTCCTGTGATCAAAGTTTATTAAATCATCAAATACAGGATGTTTATTTTACACGGTCATATGTTTAATAGTTTTAAAAAATATTTCATGGGGAGATAATCTATGTTATCTTCTATTGACATAATCTCCTCCCATTAATCTCAGTCAATGTACTGGTATATAGATTAAAGTAGATAAAGCCACAAGTTCTACTATATTTACCACAGATAAATAAAAAAATCATGGAGAGTTACAAATGTCTTCATGTGATGTAATGTATATGTGGAATACGAATAAAATGAAATGAAATGGGGTTGAATGTCCTACTGTTCTGTTCTGATTGGGCTAATGAAGTCAAGCATACACCAAACAGTGTACTATGAAGGAAATTTTGCCCGAGCAGCGGCACTGTGGCCTACTCTTCTTTTAAATTCCAACTGCCAAGGGATCTTTTACATGCACGTCAATGTGTACACAGGGCCTCAGGTTTTCTTCCCATCCGAACAACTAAACAGCTGTCCTAGCCAGGCCCTCCGTCCTGCACCATTGACAAGGAGAAACAATGTTGAAAAATCCTGATGAACCCAATGCTGGGATCGAAATGAAATGAAATGGGGTTTAATGTCCTACTGTTCTGCTCCTATGCTGGGCTAATGAAGACGGGCATACGCCATACAGTGTGCTATGAGGGAAATTTTGCCCGGCCAGCGGCACTATCGCCTACTCTTATATCGAATTCCAACTGCCAAGGGATCTTTTACGTGCATTCTAATGTATACACGGGACCTCGGTTTTTTCGTCACATCCGAAGGACTAGACAGCTGTCCTTGTCAGGCCTGCTGGGATCGAACACGCGACCTCTAATGTGGTTCCCTATAACAGAGAGATACCCAATCTTTATCTTGCAATTATATATAGACAATCAAGCTCTGAATATAGATGGAAGCGAAAGACAGGGATTGACAATATCAATCAGAATAGAACACAAATCCTATTTCATTTCATTTTTTTAAAATTTTGGTTTACTCGTCTTTACTACACTAGGATCTGGAAAAGTTGTTATATATCCCCGTTCCGGTTGATGTGAGGAATTAGTCAATGAAACGGTCTGTTGCATTGAGTTATTGGAGCTTGGCGCACGGAACTGTTGGTATCCTACTAGAAACATCAACGTTGATTGGTTAATCAAATGTCTGACGCCAAAGGGTCAAAAGCTGCTCATATGACCCCTGACGTGACCTTCCACGACAACTGGTCAGATCTTCATGTAGTTGAGGCCATCAAAAGTATAAAAAAGCCAAACGAAATATTGATCAGTATTTTAATTAGATTGTGACTTGACAATATAATAAAACATTCATTTAGTGGCTCCGTCCTTTTGGAAATCCAGCAGGTAAACAAATGATAATTTCAACCTCAATGTTTGATCTTTTATTAGACAGGGTTGGGGAGGGAGGTGTATGATTCAAAAAGTGCACATTTTTATCATTTACCATTCCAAAAGAATGATTTTTGGAACTGTAAATGGCTTTGTTCTATTTTTCTAGTTTTGTTTTGAACACATGGGTATAAAAAAAGCGGACAATTGGACCAAGTCATTAACACCTGATTTGAAAACGAAGTGATTCTAGATGTCCCCAAATTAATGGATACGTCACACATCCCACCAGTAGCGTGCAGAGAGGTGATGACCTCAAGCATCCATTTCAGTGGGCATCCAATCAGAGCAAAATCAAATTAAGTTTTATTAAAGATTGAAAATGATCGCTGTTAACTTTGTTGTACAAGCTGCCATAATTCATTTATGTATATCATCTAGGCCCTAAATACTAGGCCCTATACTTGGGTTTTGAGGGTATAGAATTAAAGGGACATAAGGTAAGTTTAGACAAAGAGCTGACAGTTCTCGCTAGTTAAAAAATATTTAATAAAAACAACATATGCTTCACTCTGAACCGAGATATTAGTGATCCAATTTTAGGCTAGGCTCGATCGTCATAACTACCGTTGGTACGATAATAAAAAAAGTCTTGATTATCCATTTTAACGTTAAATCATCCATCACAAATCGTATTCAATCCACTAAATATTGCAGGCTAACGATGGCATTGAGAGTTGATTATGGTCTGGATAAGTTAATTATTGTCTAATTACTAATTTAAATAACATTTCAGGCCTAACGAAAGACCAGCAATAGGCAGATTTAGATCTTGCATAATGCATGTTAAGGAGTTGGCCAAAACCCCTGCATGCCACCTCATCATAATCATGAAGCTTAAACGATCCCATGATACATACTTACCTCTGATTTATAACTGGACGATTTAAATCCATCTGTTAAAATATAACCCACGGATGTCCTGTTTGGGTTCGTAGCCGTGTAGGCAAACCACACCATGATGATCAAACGATTATATCATCATTCACGTTAAAATCCACTCAGACATTACACTCTAGGCATGGTAAATCTTGTATACCAAGTAGTCAGATTAAAATCCACTTAGATATAATTGTTAACAGGGCAAACAGCTGATTGTCTCATTCACATATTAATCCAATTTAGTTCCACCGCTGATCGTTAATCCAATAATATCATTGGAATATCATTTAACGTTTTCGTCATCACTTAATATAAGTAAATTGTAATTTTTGTTGAAATCTATTTTCAAGTCACTGGCAGCACTTCAAGTTTTTAAATTTCCAACCCGTTTAACAATTTCTACAAAGAATATAAAGTACGAATTAGGCCTGACCAATTTGAATTTTTGTCTTTCGTGAGCACATATAAATATTTCACTTCTTATTTCTTCCACAAAAAAAAAGTAATTTAAAAAAAAAAATTACTTTGTTGTGTTTCTAAAATGATTTAGTTCCAAATTTTAAGTTTTGAAATTTTAAACAAATTATCTAACTTGAAACTGGAGCTGCTATTTATTTATCAAAACCACAAAGAACTCAAAATTAAATTGGTTTGGCCTCAGAAACACAATTAACCATATTTGGATCCCAATCAACCAGAGGTCGATCTGATCACTGTAAACTACTACACCAGCATCACAAGTTCAAAATAAAACATTGCAGAAAATATGAAATAAACGAGTTGCCAGACGGTATGCCGATAAAACTGTCTAGGAGAACAACACGACACATAAACAAGTTGCCAGACGATATGCCGATAAAACTGTCCTGGAGAACTGCAAGAAAGAAAAACCAACAAGACAAACCCATGGACAAGATACAACACTCGGACATTGCTAGCCATCAACCAAACAAGTACTATCAAATTAAACTAGAAGTGCAATGCAGTGATGATGGATTTCACTGGTGCCACGTTACCCTTTAACATGAGAGTCATTTCCAGTACCAATGAATCCATAAACCAAATAAGTACTATATCAAATCGAATAAGAGAAATATTTACTGAATAAGACGACATACACGAAGGTCTACAGTACATTAACTGATAAGTCAATCATTGTATTAAGTGTAATAGAATTCACCACGCCTAGTCGAATCACATACAAACTATACCAAACCGAGTCTAAACATTATCTTGTGTAAATTCTACATCCAGAAACCATACAAATATCAAATTGGAAGATTGGGTCAAAGTAACTCACAAATGTGAACAAAAAAACCCTGAAACATTATTATACATGATTTATCAATTTGAAAACTAAATAAAAACAGTACATACATTCTCTATGACTTTACACAATAAAACTAGTAGATTAATAACAGATGGTTTATTTAGAATACTACAATGTCACTATAGTTTTATTATTTACAATACTACAACTTCCCTACAGTGTTATTTCAATCTTTAAACACAAAATCAAAAGCTGAAATAAAACATTCAGAAATTTATTAACATCCATCTAAGTTTGTGATTTGTCAGCAACTTCTAAATGGCAGTCAAACAAGTTACCTAGTCTACCAACAGTCTAATATAACAAGTTATTCAAATTAACCAACACTGCCAAATCACCAACAATAAGGCCATAACAGTAAGAATTTCTGTTTTTCAGAAAAACCTATAAAAATTTTGCTTATTATTTATTTATTTTTTTTGGTGGGGGGAAGAAACAAATTAATGTAAATGAAATGAAATGGGATTTAAAGTTCTACTCCACTAATGAAGACGGGAATATGCCATCCAGTGTGCTATGAGGGACATTTTGCCTGGACAGTGGTGCTATGGCTTACTCTTATATCGAATTCCAACTGCCAAGGGATCTTTTACATGCATGTCAATGCGCACACGGGACCTTTGTTTTTCGTGCTATCTGTATGACTAAACAGCTGCCCTCCGTCCTGACAAGGGGAAACAACGCTTTCTGGGCCACCACAGGAATTGAACACGCGACCTCAAAGCGAGCAAGATAGCATCATACTCACTTAGCCACCGCGACTCCCCATATTAATTGAACACAAAAAGTACTTGGTTGATTTTTCAAAAGATTTCAGTCCCAAATCTTAAACAAAAATCTTTCCCCAAAACCCAAGTGGCTATTATTACGAACCCGAAGTAAAGAATGAAATGTTGTTTAATGGCATGCTAGGGCCAACAGGGCTATATATTGCTAAAAACATCCCATAGAACCAGAAATTAAATTGGATTGACCTAAGAATTCATGGTCTGTGTAAAGTGGTTATATAATATAATCTAGCCAGTAAATATATGAACCAGGTGTTATATACTGCTTGTATATAACAACAATAGACTATACGCTGTAAATCTTATACATATTAGAGCATTTAAAGGTACTAGGCCATAAAAACAGCATATCAACTTTACATTCAATTATATCTTAATGTCAGTCAACTCCTCAAAACATTATTCTGTATCAAATCGTGTTATCACAGTCTAAAACATTATTCAAGGTCAGTTTTAGTAATTAGGCCTACAGTCTAAAACATTATTCAAGGTCAGATCTGAGTAATCACAGTCTAAAACATTATTCAAGGTCGGATTGAGTAATCAGCAATCACAGTCTAAAACATTATTCAAGGTCAGATATATTAATTACATTACAGTCTAAAACATTATTCAAGGTCATATCGAGTAATCACAGTCTAAATTTTAGACTCTAAAACATTACTCATGAATGTTGTGATTATTATCAGTTGTGACCAGCGCTGGCTAAATGTAATGTACGTTGCATGCACTTCAATTTACATACAGCAAGAAACATCTATCAAATTCAATTTGACCAAATGTTAATTTCCAAAATATCTTCAAAACTAACCTTATTACCGTAATAATTTCTTAATGCTCAAAGGTCAAAAACTTAACATAAATGCATGAAATTTGCTGGGGGGTTTTAATTTGAATACAGTAATCATGAGAAATTTATTAAAGTAATTTTCACTCACTTAAAATTACAATCAGGTTGTATACCCACTCCAAAGCGCAATATTTCCGCCATTTTTTTTTCTGACATGGTTTCCCCTAGTCAGTGGTGCAGAATGGAGGGCCTGACAAGGACAGCTGTCTAGTCCTTCGGAGGAGACGACAAATGAGCTCCTGTGTATATATTGGAATGCACGTAAAAGATCCCCTGGCAGTTGGAATTCGATATAAGAGTAGGCAATAGTGCCGCTACCCAGGCAAAATTTCCCAAATAGCACACTGGATGGCGTATGCCCGTCTTCATTAGCCCAGTATAGGAGCAGAACAGTAGGACGTTAAAACCCCAATACAGAATTCAAACTGATAAATGTTGGGTTTTTTTACCCACGTGTCTCATTTAGCCAGAGTCAGTCACATTTGAAAAGTTATATTTGACCATGTCCCTTTAAACTGTTTAATGTAAACGGATCCTTAGAATACCTTTTAAATTAAACACAACTGTTAAATTGGATTACGAATTTAACAAGATTTAAAGATCAAACATGCATTTAACAATTATAGCTGTTCCATTACCCTCCCTATTTGTCCACCAGCTTTCTACAAGTTAAGCATGAATGTACATATAATTAAGAATGATTGATATCATGTGGTTACATCATTTAGTAAATTACAACAACTTGTAACTTATTTAATCCAAGTCACGTTATCTCACATCCTGTTCACATCATATCAACGGAATTCCAAACCACAAACTCTAGCGATAAAATTACTCTCTAATACTCTGTAACTAATGATTTAAACACAAAATCCTGTGAACGAATTCAGTCGATTTGAGTAACAGCAAGTAAACAATACCATAATAGAAAGTGGTACCAGGGTGTTCATACTCTGTGTTGTGTTGCCAGGTTAAATGAAAAGTCAAAACATCAGATTCGACCAAATTCAATTGTCAACAAGTCTTATTCTACTGTCAACAAAATCTATGACAGTAAAATAATTCTGCTTTTATTTCCTTTTGACATGAAACATCAAAATTGGAAATCATATACTAGCCATCCTGTGATATTCAAAGCTTAGAACTACAGCCCCTTAAAACATTATCACATACGGATAAATCATTGACTGGGCTGTAAATGCTTTCATACCATCCACTCAGGTATTCTAAATGATTCTGTTACAAACCCTACTAACATTAAACAAACACATGAAAGCACAAATTATCACTTTAGTCCAATAAATCTTTCAACAGACATGTCTACATGTATCCATTAGATTGATATAATAGGGTAAGTTGATTCCTGTCTACATGATGATAATAGGTATATAGCTACTCTTTATCTATCTATATATATACTGGTAAATAACACATGTTCCTATTGTATACTTTATCTGATAGTCTCACATGTTCCTATTGTATACTTTATCTGATAGTCTCACATGTTCCTATTGTATACTTTATCTGATAGTCTCACATGTTCCTATTGTATACTTTATCTGATAGTCTCACATGTTCCTATTGTATACTTTATCTGATAGTCTCACATGTTCCTATTGTATAGTCTCACATGTTCCATTATATACTCTATCTTATAGTCTCACATGTTCCTATCATATAGTCTCACATGTTCCTATTGTATACTTTATCTGATAGTCTCACATGTTCCTACTGTATAGTCTCACATGTTCCATTGAATACTCTATCTTATAGTCTCGCATGTTCCTATCATATAGTCTCACATGTTCCTATTGTATACTTTATCTTACAGTCTCACATGTTCCTATTGTATACTCTATCATATAGTCTCACATGTTCCTATTGTATACTCTATCATATAGTCTCACATGTTCCTATTGTATACTCTATCATATAGTCTCACATGTTCCTATTGTATACTCTATCATATAGTCTCACATGTTCCTATTGTATACTCTATCATATAGTCTCACATGTTCCTATTGTATACTCTATCGTATAGTCTCACATGTTCCTATTGTATAGTCTCACATGTCCCTATTGTATAGTCTTACATGTTCCTATTGTATACTTTGTGAATATAGTCTCACATGTTCCTATTGAATACTTTATGAATATAGTCTATGGTTGTGGTCTTTGTTCCATTTTATAGCCATATGTCATAATAGTAGCCTATTGTGTATGAGGCAGAGTATGCACATACTTTCTAGAACACCTGATACCACTTCTCATTTAAGGAAATACAACTTAACTTGTACAATTATACGTTGTCAATAAAAAAAGAAAAAACATAACCATCATCATTATTATAATCATAAATTAATTTCCACTTGATGTGATCACAGTCACAATGTTCTACAGAACAGCAGCATAACAACTGTAGTAAACACAACACATGGTATTATCATAATTTAAATAGTAAGAGCAGGAGGACCACACTACACACAAACAAAACTGAATAGACAAACCTTTGGACAAGACACAAACTACACAGATATTATAAGCTATAAACAACAAATATACTAATCTTTAGAACTGTGATGATGCATCAATCTGGTATATACATTGTAACACATGGCTAAAACAGGTTATATTGCACAGTTGTAAACTCAAAACCAGGCATTATAGTATATATTCCATACTTCATGAATAACAACTGTGGTATAACAATTACATATATCATAGACATGTGGTGGAAACTGATACATTGTATTACATCATTTCAAGTCTAAACTGGTCAATATCACCTGTAATGCACACTTTATCAAGTAGAACTGTGGTATATATTTCTTATATATCACAAGTCAATTAAAACAACACACCACTGAAACATCATATTGCATACTTATATAAGACTACAGGCAAAAATAGTATGGTATATCATTTGGTATTTCATTCAAAGGGCAAATAACTATATTTTCATCATTTTGGAGAAAAAAAAATCCCAGGGCAATATAGCTCATATATCACACCCACCCAGTCTATATATCTGACTTAGATATACATTGTTCACATTTTTGTACCTATATTTTTTCATCTAATCCCCAAACTCAGCTATAATACTTTCATACTCACAGACAAAAAAGTTACAAACCTTCAGACAAAAAACCTGACACATAAGTAAATTAAATTCATAAGATATTAAATAAATTTCTGACATTTAAATCCCATAGATTCTAACATTCCAAACTGTATGATAAACAGATCCCAAAAATATAATTTGGTAGTTAAATGTGAACTTCTCAAACATCTTAAAGTATCAGATGTTCTCAGAGAGAGAGAGAGAGAGAGAGAGAGAGAGAGAGAGAGGGGGTGGGGTTCAACGTCCACTCGACACAAACTAGGTTATTTTGGGACTAACATATGGTTCAATCTTATTTCTATAATTCGCTTGTGTGTAGGGGGTCTTTAGCAGTGGGAGGAAACCTGCACATGCTAACCATTTGGCCATTAATTGGAGATTTTAATACCATGTAGTGTGGTGTGAGGGAAATATTGCCAAGGGAGCGGTATTGTCAACAGTTCTTAACCAAATTCCATGTGCATATCAATGTATTCACAGGGCCATTGACTGTTTCTTGCCAGGTCCTCCTTTCTACACCACTGGGAAACGAGACTGAAAAATACCCACAAACTTTCTCAGGTAAAAGTGGTATCCTACCTGAGACCTCAGTTACTCCCCAAGCCACCGTGACTCCCTCTACAAAGAGTAATATTGAAATACTACACAGTGATGAGTTTATCCATTAATGAGCTAACCCACTGACAAATGAAAAACGGGCTGATTCTGATAAACAAAAATTTAAGTTAGCAAGGCCTAATTGTGACCATTCAAGACCCCAATTGTCAACATTTTATATATGTCTGTATGTAATTAATATTAAATGACAATGATGTAAAGTTTTTGTAATAAACAGTAACTGAGATTGAAACACTGTCTAAAATTATGTTTGCACAAACTCAGAATTAGTCATTTAAATCATTTGAAAGATAAAAATATTTCATAAACACATACATCTAGGTAATTACTCAGAGTAAACTACATATATATCTAATTTCAATGATTTTACGAGCTCAATGAATGAAATTTGATTTTATACCTATAGGGTTAATAAAGACAGGTTTTATGATGTGTTAATATTACAGGTAATATACATGTGAATATGAACTGTAATATAAAAATATATCGACATCCTTGTATTAATAAATATATTGATCCACATCCATTATTATTATATGATTTATATTTTAATAACCTAATTAATATACTCTATCATTTTACTATTATAACTATTCTTTGATCTTCATACACAGACCTACATACAGGACATACAACCGACTTATGATATATACTATAATATTATAAACTGTATACCATATATACTATAACATTATAAACTGTATACCATATGACCAACTTATGATATATACTATAATATTATAAACTGTATACCATATATACTATAACATTATAAACTGTATACCATATGACCAACTTATGATATATACTATAACATTATAAACTGTATACCATATATACTATAACATTATAAACTGTATACCATATGACCAACTTATGATACATACTATAACATTATAAACTGTATATCAGTACTTGACTTCATTAATCTATAATCCTGTCTAATCTTGTTATATATGTATATATATACATATATATATATATATCACTCTAAATAATACCTTACAAAATATGGATCAAATATTTCATATATCGACAAGTCAAGATAACCATGCGGTTTATAAAATGATTCTATATAATAAGGTGGCGGATAGCGCCCATTTAGATCTTCATGTTTCTAGATACAATGCGAGAGTTGTCGTCGTTAAACCAGCACAACGAAAAGGTCACCGATTACTTTATGATATTGGTGCCTTTTTCTGTGTCATTTTCATCACTCTGGCTTAATGACAACTCTCATGTTTTAAAAATCGTGGGGCGCCATTAAGCCATCACAACGAACTAAAAGAAATTTAAAAGTGGAGTATGTAGCTATAAGTAGCTCTCTCTCTCTCTCTCTCTCTCTCTCTCTCTCTCTCTCTTTCCCAAATACAAAAATAGAGTGGATCATCTGTAATTTTGGGTAATTATTTTTTTCTCAGAATCTAGATGTTAAAGCCTATGTGGAAGTCTCCATCACAATCACATTAAACTCATCCCATTGTTTACATTAAAACACAAGACATCTGATTATGTTAATATTAAAGATGGTGGAGATGCTTATTTACCAACTAAATATTGAAACATGTTAAACTCAGGTGTGAGACAGGTAGATGTTAATTAGATGTTAATACCTCATCATGTTTACAGGTGTTAAAATATAATATCTGATCTTGGAATCACGACATACATCATTTTTAAATAAAACATTATTTATGAATAACAATTTCACAAGCTATTTCATGTGAAATGTCGTTGAAATGTTGTACTGCAAAAGAGTATTGTACAGTGATGCATATTTTCATAAATATTGTTTTATTTGATGATGTCCAAATTAGTAAATGCCATTCAAACAGTATTCATCATTTATTAATATGATTTAGAGTTATACCTAAAATTTCCAAACTGGCAGCCACCATGGCCTGCCATGTGAACAACAACTGGCAGAAGGATTTCACAGCAAACAATTTCATGAAAAGTGTACAATTTCTTTAAAACTTACTCTCCAGAACAAAATATTCAATGACCATACAAATTCAAAATATTGGCTCTCCAAATATACTTAATGACCACACAAATTTAAAATATCGTCTCTCCAAACCAAATTTTTTTTAATATATTTAATGACCACAGACATTATAAATATTGTCTCTCCAGCACAAATTTTATTCAAAGTACATGTATAACAACAGCAACCCTATAGCATTGTGAAAAGAAGCAGTATAATTCCTATTCTAATTTATACCCTGTTCAGACGCTTATTTTTAAACCAGTTCAAAATCGTTGGGTCTTTTAAGACAGGATTGTGTTGCGTTCACACATACTATAAGCCAAACCAGTTTAACTATTCTGATCTCTTCGGTTAGAGGTTAAAATAAAAAGCTTCCTTGAAGACAGGTTGCGAGCTGGGTTTTTTAAACTGGTTATAATATAGTAAGTACAGGAGGACGACACCACACACAAACAAAATCCATTAGACAAGGTTGTGGACAAGACACACAATATCCCGCCCCCCCCTCCACGCTCATTAATACAAACTGTAAGACAAACAAGATATAAAAAAATCCAGTTAAAATATCCCTACACAACAACAGAACAACACCACTACACACCAATATCTATCCATATTCTTTCCAAGTCCGGCCCTTTGTCCATCTTGTCCTACTGACCAATTTGAAACCAGCCCGGAAAATCCAGAGAAACTTCCTCAAAAATACCCGGTTAATATCAGCAAGAGCTATACACTAAAACTATCATGGTTCCAATATTTGATTTAAAACACAAAATAATATTATAAAAACAATATTTGATAAATAAATATAACATTTGATAATTAAAGATCGTCTAATTTCTAGATTTAAAATAAACAAAAAAAATCACATTTTATAATCCATGTCATGAAAAAAGTAGCAAAAAAACCCAAAACATCAGTTCTGATAAAACTATACATATTCTTACAAACTATACTATATCCAATATCCTCTGGTTGTCACAATGAATGAAAACATTTGTAAACTTATCCCCACACGATTGTACCCTATATCTCCTCCTATAACACTGTTCTACTTCTAACACTAAAAAACATATCTACACTTGTAACTGGTCAAGGTCTTGTAGCACATTAATCTTTTGTCACAGTTAAAACAAAATTGGAAAGGTATCATCTACAAATCAATCAAACCATTCTCTGTGTAAGAAATTACTCACTCTAAAACAAACGTCTCAACATCAACTCTTTCGTTTTGTATCACAGTAAAACAAAAAAAACAAAAACAGTTGTAAAGGTCTCTGTACACATCAAACCGTTCGCTGTGTAAGACATTACTCACATTGTGTTTCTTGCACTAAAAAAAGAAAACATTTCTACACACATTAACTCCTTCTTCTTGTGCCACAGTCAAAGAAAATAAAAACACAGTGTGAGTTTAGCAAGGTATCCCTGCCATGTATGATATTACTCAGCTGTGATTCTCAGCTACAAACAAAACGTGTGCTGAAGACCAGCGAACGTGTACACCAGTTGTTGTGTCATGTCGTGTGTGTGAGTCACTATAGGTTTATCAATGTGTTTACCTGTACAGGTAAATCTACCCTCAGGTGTACAATCAACAACCACCGGTAAAAATACCTAGCATGCTTCATTAGTTACCACATTATACTCAATAATAACATTCATATATCCTTTAACAGATAGTTAAAAATGTCCGATTCATAATGAAATTCTTTGGATTATCTAGATTAAACCTTTTGTTAAAAATATTTTACTAAACTGCTTTAATTAAAGTTGAAATAAAATATTGAATAGGGTTGATATGTTATTTGTATCAGTCGACTAACACTGTATAGTTAAAACAAAGTTCGAAATAATAAAAAGAAGTCGACTTGCAGGTCTTTCTTTAGGCCTGAAATGTTTTCTAAATTATTAATTAGACATTAATTAACTTATCCAGGCCATAATCAACTCTCAATGGCAACGAATTTCTCCGATATTAAATCGATTAGAACAGTTAAGCCATATTTTGATTTAAGCTAAAAATGGAGGAGCGAGACGTAGCTTCGAACAACCAGTACGGTGGTTGAAATTATTGCACACGTCTTGTCAAACCTTCAAAGGCTAATATCTTCACTCGCAATAGAGTAAATTGAATGAAATTTTCAAATTATTCATTTTACATTATCTATTTTCGAACTAGTATAGCAAGAATGGATAGCTTTTTATCTAAATCTTACATAATGTATCTTTAAAAAATTTTAGTTTAATTTTTGGCAGTGGAACAAAAAATTAGTCAACAAAGAGAGATTTTCATTCTACAAAAATCAACATAAAATATCAAAAAAAATCTTTAATGTTGCCACAAATAAAAGAGGTTCATTAGTCTTTCTATTTTAAAATACATGGTGATTTACACACAGGCGATAATTTATCAGTGCTTGGTATCATACACAGGGCAGAGTTTGTATCATGGCGATCAGTGTCATACATAGGGCAGAGCTTCTATCATGGTGATCCATGTCATATACAGGGCAGAGTAAGCTTATTCTATCATGGTGATCAGTGTCATACACAGGGCAGAGCTTCTATCATGGTGATCCATGTCATATACAGGGCAGAGTAAGCTTATTCTATCATGGTGATCAGTGTCATACACATGGCAGAGTTAGCTTATTCCATCATAGCAATCAGTGTTACACACTTCGCAGAGTTAGCTTACTTTTTACAGAACATCTGATATCACTGCTCATAGTTATTATTACCTGTATTTGTACCTGTATTTGTACCTGTATAGTTCAATCCATGTGTATTTTGTAAGTAGATATAAGTTCAACTAGTTCAGTATTTTATTGTATAAACTGTGAGTTAATGAGTTTTAAATTGATTTAATATTGACAAATACTTAACTCACTCTAACCTTCTACATGTATAATTCTATAACATACTTGATTATCACGAATAATAATATTTACATATTATATTCAATTATTATTTCTTTTGAACAGATATCCTGAACAAAATAACACAATAATCTCTATTTCATTCCTTCCCAATATACTATTAAAATAAAAATTCTTAACAGCCAGAAGATTTAAAAAAATATATTCCTTAAGTTCAAAATGAATTTTGTCTTTGGTCTTTAATCTTTGATGCCACTGCATGACTAGCCAAATTCGACATATTCTAGGGTGGTACAAACCAGTGATGGGATTTTGCCCGTATATTCCGGACATGTCTGACGCTATTTTCTGAACTTCCAAAATTGTCCGGCCAGGAATATGCCCACTCGGACATCAAGATATGGTGAATAATATTCAAAATTCCAAAATATTCTTTTTGAAAGAACAATATTGAGTCAGTCATTATCACATATGTGATAGAACGTACCGCTCAAACACGTTCCAAATATAATTTTAACACAGAGAGCATTGCTATGATAGATGCGTAATGAAGATTTGAAGAAACAGAGTTTGATTAATCTATTTTATTAGCCTTAGAAATTATTTTGTAATAGCTTATTTTTATGGTAATATGTATTGCAAATATTTATTTCTAAGCTTCTCCACTTATACCAGACTCATTTCCTATGTTCACCTGGACTTGATTGGTTTTATATTCTAAACACCGACATTCTGACAAGCTCCACGACATTCTGACAAGCTCCTCAACTTATCATCAAATTATCATGATCCTGTCTCGGACAACAACCTGAAAAAACTCTTGGATGTTTAATCTAAAAAATATCCCTTTCACTGAAAGACAAAAGTTCACCTGATTGCCTCAGGCCAAAATGGCAAACACTTTTTTACTTCACTAGCCAAAGAAAATAGCCAGCAGTCGAATCGTTAATGTCCACAAATTATAGGTTTAACATAAAGGGTATGTTTGGTCCAATTAAAACAATATTATCACTTCTCACGCCCTGAAAAACATCCAGTATCAATGAAATGCAGTCATTAGTAGGATTACTATCTGTTTAATTAACAACATTAATGTTCAAGATGGCCAATCTTACCTTTAAGAGAGAGAGAAAAATGAAATGAAATGAAATGGGGTTTAATGTTCTACTGTTCTGTTCCGACTGAGCTATGAGGAGAAATTTGCCTGGGCAGCAGCACTATAGCCTACTCTTTTATATATATATATTATGAGAGAGAGAGAGAGAGAGAGAGAGATTCATCCAGTCCTTATTATCCTTCAATCTAAATTCAAGATTTAGAGGGAGAGAGAGAAAAATGACCAACACTGGGATCGAACATGGGACCTCCTAGATAGTGAGCAATCGCCATAGCTACCAGGTGAGGCATTTGGTATACAATGAAAGGTATATCTTTCAATCATAAGGTAAAATTGAAATGAAATGGGGTTAAACGTCCTAATGTTCTGCTCCGACTGGGCTAGCTTATAATCTCCCTTCCACACACTACCATTTTTGTTTTAATATGTAAAAATAACCAGATATTCATCAGCAGAGTACGGCCATTATTAGAATCATTATTATTTATCTACAAATGACCAGAATCACATTTACTCTATTATCGATTCTTAATTTGTAAAAAAAACTGTTGACAAGTTCAAACATTTACTTGATAAAAATCAATTTAATAGACTTAAACAAATATGGTGGTCAAAAAGTCAAAACAATCTTCATAAAACAGAATACAGTGTGTTCCAAATGTGATTTTATACATCTTAAAAAAAAATATTGGGATTTTATCGATCAAATGTGTGGACACATTAATCCATCAATTTGATGAAGGGTAAAGAAAAGCAAAACAACCATTTAATTTTGAAATAATCCTGAACATAACTACAGAATTCTGATGGTTCTGTTTGAATTTATATGAATCCCCTAATAAGATTCTAAACCAAAGACAATTAACACTATACCAGCAAGCGGTTTTTATTAAGCAAATTACCAATATTCAAGATTTAAAATTAATTTAGCTAAACTTGTTGAAGCCTAAAGATTTGAACTCATTACACCTTGGGATGGTAAGAGTATGATCATATCATGATGATACTTATGTAATTTATGTAATATATATACCTAGAGGGTATTTTAACCAAGGCAGCAAGAACAACATTTATATACAAACATATACTTAACATATATAGCCTGAAGATCTAAACTCATTACATCTTGATTGATAGTATGAAAATATCATTATGATACCTGTGCAAATTATCTAATAGAGCTTGAGGGGATTTCACCAAGGCAGTAAGGTTATAACAGAGATATCAATCATATATAATAATGAGCTTCTGAAGGAGAAATTGACACAGTAGACGCCGACCTTTGACATTGTATATTCTTGTTATGTGTTATAATATACATTTGTCATGTCATTGACATCATAATATGTTATAAAAATATCAAGGAATTTAAACGAAAATAGATTTTTATCTGACCTATGATTGAAATTAAATTTTTATCTGATTTAAAAGGCCCGTTGGATGAAATTACATTTTCATCAAAGCAATGGTCATGAAACTGGATTAAATTCTGCAATTTGTGAAATTCGATTAAATGATTCTATAATCATTAGTCTATCGATTCCACGCTATCTTAAGTCTTAAAAATCAAAGCAGGATTGCCTATTCTCCAACGAAACTACAATGGAACGAGACTACCATGGAATGAGACTACACACTGGAATGAGACTACAATGAAATAAGACTACCGGTACACTGGAATGAGACTAACCTGGAATGAGACTACAATGGAATGAGACTACACTGGAATGAGACTACACTGGAATGGAAGCTCTTACTACTAAATTCTCGGTTACAGATGAATTTTGCACAAACTATCAAAATTATCAAAAAAATGATCCCTGTGTAAAACAACATAAAAGATCTTACAGCCTTCGTCACTTTTAAAGCCACTACAATTGTCATTTGCATTTTTTAAGACTATACCTCAATTTTCATGGCTTAATTATTCAACAGTAAAATATAATCAAATTGATAAGTTCACAAACAACAAAACTATCAACATTATCTAATAAATAAAGTAATGAATACAATTCTTACTGTAAAGATTGGAAATTGTCCCGTCTTAGTCTTGTCACTGGTTGATACAGTGATATTATCGCTTGGTATTATCCTACATATGGACACAATTCTTACTGTGCAGATTTGAACCTATCCCGTCTTAGTCTTGTCACCGTTTGATACAGTAATATTATTGCTTGGTATAATCGTACACAGTACGAACAGTAACAAACCTCTACTAACAATCCAACAAATAGACACAATTCTTACTGTGAAGATTTGAACCTATTCCGTCTTAGTCTTGTAACTGATTGATACAGTAATATTATGGCTTGGTATAATCGTACACAGTACTAACAACAGAAACAAACATCTACTAAAAATCCAACAAATGGACACAATTCTTACTGTGCAGATTTGAACCTATCCCGTCTTAGTCTTGTCACTTGGTATTATCGTACATAGTACTAACAGTAACAAACCTTTACTAACAATCCAACAAATCGAAACAACACGTTAACACACAAGACACACAGATTTATAGTCAACCTGTACACCAAGTACCTAAATCATGACGTACTGGACTACACACACTGGTCATTTCATACATCTTATACCAGTTACACTTGTTGTCTTGTATAAACAAGACAACACCCCTCTTTGTTTTTCTTTGCTAACGTTACTCCGCATTCCTTCACTTGTAAATTCTCTCGTTCCGTAGCTTGGGTGGGAATAACGACCAGTCTTTCTTTGCTACCGTTACTCTGCATTCCTTCACTTGTAAATTCTCTCGTTCCGTGGCTTGGGTGGAAATAACGACCAGTCTTAACATTCTTATTTAACTCCTGTTGATCAACAAACACTCCTTTGTTTCAATCATATTAAGGTAGCGGGCAAATGAAATGTTGTTTTTTTTTTAAAATCTCTTATGTCCTACATGTAATGTATTATGGTGGGAATTTTGCCAAGACAGCGGCTAAGTGGGTAAGACGCTGGCTCGCTAGCCTGGAGGTCGGGTGTTCGATCCCTGCATTGGCTGAGAAAGTTCATCCAGATTTTCCAGCGTGGTTTCCCCCTTGTCAGTGATGCAGGACGGAGGGCCTGACAAGGACAGCTGTCTAGTCGTTCGGATGGGACGAAAAACCGAGGTCCTGTGTAAACATTGGCGTGCACGTAAAAGATCCCTTGGCAGTTGGAATTCGATATAAGAGTAGGCCGTAGCGCCGCTGCCCGGGCAAAATTTCCCTCATAGCACAATGTAAGGCGTATGCCCTTCTTTATTAGCCCAGGTAAGGAGCAGAACAGTAGGACGTTAAACCCCATTTCATTTTATTTCACTATATATACAGCCTACTCCTATTTTTAATTACAACTGTCAAGGGTTCTTTTACGTGCACCCCAATGTATACATGCCTGCTACGGTTGAATATAGTGATTATAGTGTACCCAGTACTCTAGTATTTGTGACACAATAACTTTGGTTCTAATTGATCTAGAATATTCAAACTTTGTTTAGTTGTTTATATGAGGTGGATGGGGGGGTGGGTGGATGGCCGAATGGTTAGCGTGTGCACATTGTATCATAAGTTCTGTCATTGAGTCAGCTGGTGTAGTTTCAATTTCCCAGTTGTACATGACAAGGAGTACCGTCGCCTGTCTAACCATAGAACTAAATACACTGGAACGCCAACGAGCCCGTTAGAGCGAATTATGCTCGTCCTCGCATGCGCGAAGATAAAAGTGCCATGTTTACTTCCGGTAGGCCTGACGCTTTGGGAAATGCTAATTGTAGGCCGGTTGGGGAGGTTCGGGTGTTTCCGGATACCAAAATGGCCGCTTTATATAAATGATATAAAATAATATAGGCCTACTAGGCCTCATTTTTATATAGGCCTACCTATTTCTAAAACAGTGATCAGCTGTCAAAAAAAGGTCGAAATATGCAGGCAGAATTCTCTGAGCATGTTATGAAGATTTGTAAAATTAAAATACTACTAGGCCTTGTAATATAGGCCTACATATTTCTAAAAAAAATGGTGATCAACTGTCAAAAAAAAGTCATGATAAGCAGGCAGAAAATTTCATTGCATTTTGTGAAGATTTGCAAAATTAAAATAATATAGGCCTACTAGGGCTCATTTTTTATATAGGCCTACCTATTTCTAAAACACTGTCAAAAAAAAGGTCAAAATATGCAGGTAGAAAATTTCATTGTATTTTGTGAAGATTTGCAAAATTAAAATAATATAGGCCTACTAGGCCTCATTTTTATATAGGCCTACTTATTTCTAAAACAGTGATCAGCTGTCAAAAAAAGTCAAAATCAGACAGAATTCTCTGAGCATGTTATGAAGATTTATAAAATTAAAATAAATTGCCATTTACAGGGAGGAAGGCGTTTGCCCACTATCAAGGAGATTTGGATTTTGATTCAGATGTTCGTTGAGAAAATTGCCTGTTTTCCCTTTTTGTCAGTGGTGCATCAGGTAGCATTGCATATACTGTATTATGGAAGCATGAAGGAGTGCATTAAATATCAAAACTAAGTTTGGATTGGCACCAAGTACTGTGGATCAGAATGAAATAATTTTTTTTTTATTAAAAGGAGAGAGAGAGAGAGAGATGGGGTTTAACGTCCACTCCACACAAACTAGGTCATTTCGGGACTAACATATGGTTCAATTTTATTTCCATAATTTGCTTGCGCGTAGGGGTCTTTTTAGCAGTGGGAGGAAACTGGAGGACCCGGAGAAAACCCACGAGGTTGGACCGGCAACCCTACTCCTTGTCACGTACAACCGGTGATTCGAAACCACGCCAGATGACTCAATGACAGGCCTCGTGATACAACGCGCACGTGCTAACCATTCGGCCATCCAACCCCCCTTTATTAAAAGGAAATAATAAATTTGAAATATGAAAAGTTGTGGATTTAAACGTTTATAATATGTGTATTTGCAATATAATAGAGACCCACAAAATGTAAAGACATTACTATTCTGAACTATGCTTATAGTGAAGAGACACTGTGTGAAGCTAATGTTTTTAGGATCTCGAAAATTTGCCCAAGAAAATATACCATAGTTGCATTCACATTGAACCTTAAATTTGTATAAATTTATGACAATTTCACACATTTGATCAGAGAGAAAAGTTACCAGATTTATGCATATTTTCATTCACCCTATTGTAAATTGTGATCCGTGTGTCAAAGTTACAATAAATGGTTTTATGTAATCATAGAGGAGGGAGTGGGTAAATTTTACAGTTTACTGAATACACCTGTACCAGTACACACAAGAGCTGCATATCTTATGAACTGAATAGAAATTGACTTTAAACACATTGAGGAGAATTCATAATTTCATTGAGTGGACAAGATAGACAGTCTCTATCCCTAGTACATTTTCAAAATATTCACAATAATCCAATGATTTCATTCATTATATTTATTAAAATTATTTCCAAAAAATAGAATGTGTAACTGAAAGTGTATAATGTACAGTCAGTTGATAGCTGAGTCTATTCCAATTTTTCACAAGAAATATATTTCAAAGTCTTTCAGGCACTCGCATAACAGCCTGCTTTTCATTCAGTGCAACAACTATTTTAAAGTTAGGATTTAGGGATGAATCAACACTCAGTGCGGGTGGTTATTTAGGAATTATATTTTATTGTCCTTCTTCCATGTTAGAAATTCCTTGTTCACATCAAATGAAAGTTCTTCATAAAATTAAATACAATAGCTTTTGTATTATTGGTCTGAAAAAAAAATACGTATTAATTATTAGTAGTAGTATGTTTGAACATAAAATAGAGTTTCTTCAGGGATTTCTGTGTCTACAAATTACAAATAAATTTTACAGTTGAATAAAGAGAAATGCAGTTTTAGTTATACTAATATAATTTATGCATAAATTAAAAAGGCAGTTGGTGTCAGCCTTTACAGATGGGTTTATATTCAAATCAGACTCAATACCAAGAAAGTACCACCGATTTCAGGTAATGCCATGGGAATTGGCACAAGAAAAACTTTCTTCAATCAGCATTATTCACTTGATAGCTCTTTTAATTTTACTCAAACAAGGCCTTAATTTATATACAAATCCACTCCTTCAATGACACAAATCTGATATCCTTTTCTTCTTGATTATCATGTGAATTTTTTCACAAAGAAATAATATTCAAAAGGAAAATTCCATTTGTACATTTTTCTTTGAATTAGATCAAATAATTTAAATTTAAAAACAAAATACCAGTATTCATTTTTTTGTACTTTTATTTTATTAGTTTCCCAATATTGTAAAATTAGAAGTATGGTTGTGCTCACTGAAATATTACTAAATCAACTTTTTGAAATTCATTCACATTCCTGACAGGCCTATAAGTCTATAGTAAACAAAAGGGTTTGGTACGTAATTCCGTCCCCGACTTAAACCAGTCATTACATTATTATTTTGTAAATCGATTCATTTATGTTTTCTCAAAAAAAAAACGATGACTTGATTGTATGAATTATAGGCCTAATGACATTAGTGAATTTTCAACATACCTGTTTATAAAGACAGTGCGCAGTTTGTAAATTGTACTGTGCTGGCAGCCAGTCGACGTCATCGCTTCCAGTTCTTCGTCATTTTACAACTCTCCCTGTTGCATTATTTATGACATTTTTTTTTATATCAATAATAAATGATGAGCGAAGATCACAACATTTGTTTAAAGTGAGGCACAAATGAATAAATATTTAATCCAATTCACTCGCTTGCTTTCAACATTATCAGGCTAACAAAATTACGTGATAATAACAATATACTGGAAGTAAACTGGGCACTTTTTCGAAGCCACAAGCCACAAATTTTACCAGAAGTAGACGCTCGTTGGCGTTCCAGTGTATTTAGTTCTATGGTCTAACCTTATGGGTTTTCTCTGGGTCCTCCGGTTTCCTCCCACTGCTAAAGACCCCTATGCCTGAGTGAATTATTGAAATAAAATTGAATCATATGTTAGTCCCGAAATGATCTAGTTTCTATTGAGTGGACCTTAAACCCCATATCTCTCCCTCTCTCTCTCTCTCTCTCTCTCTCTTATTAAATCAGGACACAATGGATAAATGTTTCTCTCAAAAATTCAGCAACTTAATCTAATAATACCCACGATTACAGTTTCCTGAATAACCCTAACTTTTATTTATCAAAATCCTTGACCCTAAAAAATGTTCTTACTTCCCAGGTCTTATATATATAAACCAGCCTTGGTGTGGATTTCTGGACATAAATTTCAACACTTAAGTCTTAATCAGCTTTATTATCAAGAATCATCCTCTGTAATTAAGCTAGAAAATCTTCCCACTGAGCAGCCCCATTTTGCGGGGTCATGTAGCCGTAAACACAGCTATTATTTGGCGCGGGGGGGGGGGGGGGGGATTTACTGTTATTTATTTGTAATATCATGTGTAATATCATATCTTAGAATTACATTAAGTCATACAAAACATTGATTTATTATTGAAAATGAAATGAAATGAAATGGAGTTTAACGTCCTACTGTTCTGCTCCTAACCTGGGCTAATAAAGACGGGCATACGCCATACAGTGTGCTATGAGGGAAATTTTGCCCGGACAGCGGCACTACGGCCTACTCTTATATCGAATTCCAACTGCCAAGGGATCTTTTACGTGCACGCCAATGTGTACACGGGACCTCGGTTTTTCGTACCATCCGAACAACGAGACAGCTTTCCTTGTCAGGCCCTCCGTCCTGCATCACTGACAAGGGAAAACCACGCCGGAAAATCTGGATGAACTTTCTCGGCCAATGCAGGGATCGAACACCCAACCTCCAGGCTAGCGAGCTAGCGTCTTACCCACTTAGCCACGTGATCTCCTGATTTATTATTGAAAGCTATACTAAAAAGAAACTAAACACAAAACAAAACACAAGAGAGAGAGAAATAGGGTTTAACATCCACTCAACACAAACTAGATCATTTCGGGACTAACATATAGTTTAATTTTATTTCAATAATTCGCTTGCGTGTAGGGGTCTTTAGCAGTGGGAGGAAACCGGAGGACCTGGAGAAAACCCACGAGGTTGTAAGAAAAAACACAAAAATAGCTAGAGGTATGAAAGGAATCCTAGGAAGGGATACAATTTAAGAAAAGTTTCCAAACAACAAAAATATCAATCCTTCTGTAACAAATTTGTAACCTTGGTATAAGAACTATACAAATATTTTAATACAAAAACGTGATACAATATCTATAAACCAATATCCTATTCTATTGTCTGTTGGTTGTCAGATTTCCTACCAGCTACTTGATGTCTGAGTAAATGACGATATGCCAGATTAAAGTCAATTAGGAATGTTGTTAACAAAACAAATAAACATGTTTAACAACAATTCACAAACTTCTCTTTTTGTTAAATTTTTGTTACTGTTCATTCCTTTTAAGTTGGGGAGCCACTGTGAGTATGGCTCTGGCTCACGGGCACTCCTTAGGGAGCCACAGCTCTGGCTCACGGGCACTCCTTAGGGAGCCACAGCTTTGGCTCACAGGTCACTCCTTAGGGAGCCACAGCTCTGGCTCACAGGTCACTCCTTAGGGAGCCACAGTTATGGCTCACAGGTTATTCCTTATAAGCTGGACACTCATTATCAAAATTAATCAGTCAGCTTTAAACTGGACACAAGTACAAATTAGATGATTTTTGGTGATTTTAAACGATTTTTACGAATTTTTAAACAAAGTTTTGATATTAAACAAATGTGAAAGAAATTAGTGCTACATGTAGATACACAAGATTAAATGATACCTGGGTTACAGTGACTGCTGCCTGGGCAAAATGGCCCCCATATAGCACAATGTATTGTCGTCTTCATTAACCCAGTCGGTGCAGAAACGGGGAAGTTAAACCCCATTTCATTTCATTTCATTCGTAATCGTTAATCCAATCCTTACAAAACCATTGTGAAAATATTGCAAGAATCTGTATAAATAAACTTTATGAGCAGTTAGCAGCTAAAAAACATTTCTTTTGAAATGACAAGTAAACTCAAACATTGTTTGTACAGTTGTAACATTCTATCAATAGTTTCTTCTATTTGTTTAAAAATCTTTTAAAAAGAATTGAAAAGTTTCCCTTGGGAATGTTTCAAACAGATTTGATCTTTTGTTGGTAAGCTAACGTACTTAAAGAAAGAGATAAAAAATAAAAAATAAAAAATTGATCAGGAATTAATTAATTATCTTGGATAAAAGGCAGAAAAACTTGAAGAAAATCATTCAATTGGAATTTTAATTCAACTTCTCTTTAAAAGAAGTTTTAAATTTTAATTTGCTGGATTTTCTTGTTTTGTGTAACTTCTTAAACTGTTTCAATGGCATTTAGTAATTGAACTGGAGTATACAGGTCACATTTCTATGGAATACAATTACTGCTTATTACTGAGTGACGTTTCGACTAGGCTGACCATTGTTTGACTAGTCGAAATGTCGCTCAGTATTAAGCTGTAATTGTATTCCATAGAATTGTGACTTGTGAACTTTTTGTGTACACACTGCACAATTTCACATTCTGACTCCTCTTTAAGCAATTATTCAATCATTATATTAATATATCAATATTTGGATAGATCTTCTTCAAAATATACAAAAGAAATTGTTAGCCATGTGACCAAGTGGTATCAGGTGTTCTAGAAAGTGTAAGCATAGCCTGCTGTATGAAACAGTATAATAAAACATGGTTGCCTGCCTAATCCCCTGGGCTCTCTCCTGATTCTCCCATTGCTACAGACATATCGGCCAGTAAATTATTGAAATGAAAAATGAAATTGCCCCTACACCAGTCCCAAAATAACCTAGTTTGTGTTTTGAATGGATCTCTCTCTCTCTCTCTGTAAATATAAAGTAGAAAGTTAAAAGGGTATAGATGAGAAGAGTAAGATTGTTAGGTTAAACCATTTCCTGTTGTATATACATCACACCCGTATACCACAGTCCGTATACCACAGTCGGCCAAAATAAATAACCTTTTAAACATCAAGACAAAGAGTCCATGTTGATTTCACAACCTCAACCAATAATTATGCCAAATAAAACAAAGTCCGTGTTTTATTCCCTGTGCCAATAAACCAACAGGTGTAAATGATTTCAACTGTATAAATATACTGTCTGGTGTGTCTCTTGATTTCTATATACAGCACCGTTCAACTAGCGCATATTTTCTGGGGTGTTTCACTCACAGTCATTAGCTTTTTAAGGTGCTTGAACAAACTCGAGGAGGACCTGACAAGGACAGCTGTCTAGTTGTGCGGATGGTACGAAAAACCGAGGCCCCGTGTACACATTGGTATGCACGTAAAAGATCCCTTGACAGTTGGAATTTGATATAAGAGTAGGCCGTAGTGCCGCTGTCCAGCCAAAATTTCCCTCATAGCACACTGTATGGCGTATGCCTGTCTTCATTAGCCCAGTTCGGAGCAAAACAGTAGGACGCTAAACCCCATTTTTAGTGCTATCGAGCACATTAATCTGGATAAAAAAATGAATCCCCATAATTTCCGTATTTTATTAGAGAAGTTAAAAAGTCACTGTGTAATTACGTATGCTACTTAGAGAATAAAGTCCGTGGTGGCTCAGTGAATAAGATGCTGGTTTGCTAACCAGGTGGTCTCGGGTCCATGCCTGGTGTAGGCCGAAAAAATTTCTCAGGATTTTCTGGAATAGTTTCCCCTTGGCAGTGTCTAAATGTTCGGGTGGGACATAAAAACGTGGTGCCTTGTACACACTGACGTGCATATAAAGTAACCCTTAGGGCTGGGAATGTGTATACAATAGGAAAGCGCATTATAGTTCCTTGGACAGTTGGAAATAGACACCATTGTCAAGACAAATTTTCCCTCATAACACACTGATGACATATGGCTTTCTCTATTAGCCCAGTTGGTGCAGAAACCTAAGATGCTAAACCCCATTTCATTTCATTATTAAAAGGAGCTAAATCGCTAATATTTTGGACCTAGAAATTGGCACAAATGGGTCGCAACACATATAATAATGTAATATGAATTTATATAAACTGTTTTACATTCAATCGTGTCCGTTTTACTGTGAATTGTCATCAGTTATGTTTGGCGAAATACGCCAGAAGTCTCAATCGCAAGTCATTTTCTAGCATCTGGTTATTCCTGTCAACACCGATATTATTTATTGTGCATGCTCTCCAAATAAGAATATGATATCACCGTTTGACATGAATTGTGGAATATGTCTAGCCTCAGTCTTTGAGCACCTTGTTACAAATGGCGCTGGAACGCCAATGGTAAAATGTTTATTTTGTCTTAAATATTGAATATCAGAAGCCCATCTTTTCCAGGTAAGATCACAACACCAATGCTGATTTAAATTGCAAAAAAATTTGTGTTTTCAATGTCGAAGATTTTGGATGATATTGAGTTACGGACTTAGCTACTTTAAACTATGACAGAAACTATTCTTCTAGCTATAGCTATGTGAAGTATTAGAACCCGGAATTAAGAGTATCGCATACCTGTTATATTCAAGAACAGACTGGTTGTGCCCTCTGCTGTGTTGTACTTGTTTATCCAGTATAAAATGTTACAGTAATGTTTATCCAGTCAATAACGGGGCATGTTATGTT